ATTATTTTTGCATAGTGAATATAGACATTCTATCGAAGCGAAAAATGGCTTTTATGGTAATTTTTTGTTAGTAAAACATTGTGTTTCCAAAAAGTACTTTAAAGTATATAAATAAGTTATCCGTGCAATTGATTTACATTAGCCAATCAGACGAATATCCTCCTATGACTCATGCCCATGGGCATGGCATAGCGGTCTTTAAATCTGATTGGTCAATTACTGGAGGTGCAGGTAGTATTGGGATTTGCCGCAACATAACTGAGTTATAACAAGTTATAACTTTTTAGTTTAAGTTACAGCATGCTGTAACATGCGTATATCCTGTAACTAAATTTATATGTCAAAACTTGCCATAACTCAATTTCATATATCGAACTTGCTGTAATGTAACTTGTTATATCTTTTTTTAGGCTAATTAGAAAGAAAATTTTCTTCTTTGGATGAGTTATTTGACTATCATCAGCTTTTTGAGATGTAATAATTTATTTTATTCTTGTAGTAGTTTGGAAAGTAGAAGATTAACATTATAATTAATTCAGATAGTAGAGAACTATTATTATTTAGAGTCAAATTGCCTTTGTTCATATTCATTGTAGAAGAAACTTTCAATAATTTCATAAAAATATATAATTTATTTTTATTGTGTATAAATATATAAACTAATTTTATTATATTATTAATTGATATATTACTATACTTCATATATATCTAATTAGTTATATATATTGATTGTAGTATTGATTAATTAAATACAAATACTGCTACAGTGATAAATATCAAAATTTTAATTTATATAGACTTGAGATTCATATGACACTTGTGATTTATAGAAAATTGTGATTCATTTAGCAATTGAGATTCATGCAGTTTTTGTTACAACTATAACTGTAACTTGCTATATGTCAAACTGTTCATTGGAACAGTTCTACCTGCACCTCTAATTGTCACATATATTCTGCATATATCATTGACTTTAAATGAATTGTCTGCCACAAATATGAATTGTCTAAGGAAACTGAATACAGATTCAGAAACTAAACCTTTTGATTTATATACTGTCAAAATAATTATAAAAACAGAGGAATAGTTATGAGGATTTGCTATAAAGTATTTGTTTTAATTTAGTTGTTACTTATATAGGAATTTTTAAAACAAAAGAAATAGCTTTTTTTTTGTAGTTAGATTTTTAGTAAGTGAGTTTATTCTTAAGATTAATAGTATATTTAGATTATATTTGTTAGATAAAGCCTATAAATTATAATATTGTTAGAAGTCAAAACTGGATCAGCTTTTGTAATCTTAAATCTAATAAGTAAAATTAAAAAATTTGTTGAAACTATTGAAAGTTAGGTTTGAGTTTTGTATATATTTTATTTGCAATTGTTTACTATTTCTTTTGATTTTTTACAGTATATTAATTTAATTATTTTTGTTATTATTTATTGTAGTGACTGAAGCTAAAATTGGCTGAAGCTAAAAATTTAATTTATTTTATTATAAAAATTTTAAAATTTTTGTGATATATTTTTTTGATTTTTTTTAGGGTTAGGGTTAGCTTTATAGGTAGAATTTATAATAAACAAATATAGATAGGTTTTAATAGATTTTATAGATCTAAATTAAGACTCTAAATTTTTAGCTTTAGTCAATTTTAGCATTATCCTCAATATTTATTGTTAACAATTTAGTTTTGGTACAAGCTTGTTATAAATATATCTAATAGTCTGTTAAATTTTAAATTTTAAAATATTGATAGTTTTTTTGCGCAATAAGTAATAATGAGTAAAGAATTGTGTTTAAACAAAAACTTAATTAGCAAATTATTGAGTTTAAAATTTGCTTTTTTGTAAAACGTCATATGTACGTATGTCGGTTATCATAATCGTAACCGTATCAGTATTATTAATCATAATATCAAACATTCTGTTTTAAATCATCTGCTATTCCTAGCTAAGACTTTTTCCGCTGCTGCCTCCTCTGTACCTTCATCCGCTGCCTCCTCTATGCCTTCGCCCGCTGCCTTCTCTGCGTTTTCGTCCGCTGCCTCCTCTGAGTTTTCATCCGCTGCCGCTTCATCTGCACTTTCATCCGCTACTGCCTCCTCTGCGTATTCGCCTGCTGCTGCTTCCTCTGCGCCTTCTTTCGCTGCTGCCCCCTCCGACGCATCATCTTTAATTTTACCTTCACAAGAGGTTGTTAACCTTACAACCACAATGTTTCCACCCTCTTCATTGTCTTCATCAGTTTCTTCATCAGCGCCTCCAGTGGTACCACACACTTTGCCGATTTCGTGCCCCGTTTGTGCCATTACCTGTGATCGTCTGATTAAAATCCGTGATGCATTTAAGGAATATAACGCAGACGACTCTCTAATATCAAACATACTGACACTTGAAGAAAAATTAAGCAAGTTAGAAGAAAAATATGAAACTTTAAAAAACCATTATAATTCATTACAAATTTTGTTTCTTGAAACAAATTGTATATGGGTTGTTGCCCAGCAAAACCATGCTTAGAGTATATATTTTTTATATACTCTAAGCATGGTTTTGCTGGGCAACAACCCATATGTAATAATCGTTAAACGGTAAAATAAAGGTGTTTACTCAAGTATCAAATGCAACCAGTATTTTAATTTCTCATAATATTTGAACATTAACACAATCATGTATAAAGAGTGATATTGTTACTTATATTGTGGGTTTTCAACAATGTTCTAACCGAATATCGCTATAATGGTTGTGCCACCACAATCACTAGCTAATCACACTAGCGTGCTGCTAGTATGGCTTTAGTATAGATATATACGTGTAGTATTAATTAATAATATGGACTGAGACAGTAGTGAAGCGGTTATATTAACTGAAAAATAAGGTTATTGTTTAAGAATTTACGTTAATAAAAAGTAAAATTCTTGAAAATTTTCCTTTTGATAGGTGCAAATACGAGTAATAACGAGAAAATATATAAGGCATTATGACGTGAGAGGTATTTTGACGCACTTACGTTTTTTGATATCTTGCGATACACTGATCAGAATTAGTACTATTCGATTCGTTTTACAAAAATTAATCAATTCTGATCAAGACTTGAGGGAAGGTTAGACGTTATTGTGTAACTCTTACATTATTTTCTCTTTTTTCCTATTTGAGCAATTTCAGGGGGAAAGGTCAGCAAAATCGAAAATACAAAAAGAGCTACGTAGTGTAAATAGAATTTTGCTAAATTTAGATAATTAACACTGAGGTCTAATCGGTTATGTATAGTGCACCCCAACAAAAAAAAA